AGCTCCCGTCAGCCGGCGGCCGGCACCGCCGCTCCTGCCTCTCCGCGATCGGCGTCAGGTGGCGATCTGCCGGCCCAGGCGCCCCCGCGGGCACCGGAGAGTCGACCACCGCCGCGGGGAAGGGGTCCCAGCGAGGTCGCCCGAGGGTCCTGGGTCCCACCTAACGTAGCCTCCTCGCGGCCTGGCAGGGCCGGGAGACGAGGTGACTCGCGAGCACCAACTGGCATGGCCAGAGAGACCCTGAAGGCCCGTGTTGCATAAAGGTTGTGCACATCCGTGCGCCTGCATGGTCCTTGTCACCAAAGGGAGTAGGCCTGGGCCCCGCCGGGCTCCCACACCCACGGTTCTGGCCCTGGACCCGGGCGCTATGAGAGGATTGCACCCTGATGACCTCCCCGCCCCCACCCCCAGCCTGAGAGCAAGTGGGGCGCCTGAACCAACGCCTGACTCCGTGGTGCCAGGCAGAGCTTGGCAGGAGGACGTGCTGGGTTTGCTGCGGGAACGATGGAGGGATTCCTGAGAAGCGGTGCACAAATGAGGGTTGACTGTGCCACCGACTGTGCTTCGCAATCAGTCTGAACAACAGCCCCTGAGCGGGTGCCATGGTCTGCGCCTCCTCCCCCTCTTCTTCCTGCTCCCCTCCCCCTCTCTCCTCCTGCCTGATCCCCATCACCAGGCGAGGACTGTTAGGGGGTTGGTGCCCTTCCTTTTCGAGTCAACATTGTCCCATTTCTGACCATCCTTGTTGCTACACCAGGAGGTAGTGGGAAGCTGGGTCCCCCCACGCTTTGCAGTTGTCAGCACCAAGAAAGGTGAGCACGGGTGAAAGGGGTCAAGAATCCTTTTAGTACTGAAAACAGATTTCCGTTTCTGCAAGCCAAGGGCAAGACATTAATTATGCAGCAGCAGTGGCCCTGGAGCTGGGAGAGCAGGATGAAGGTGGGACAACAGGTGGCTTCTCCCCCAACGTTGAAAGAAAAGGGGGCCCTGCAAAGCTACCTCAGATACACTTGTGAAAATGTTTCTTATATGTATTCAATAAATTTCTGTGCTTTTATTACTGACACATTAAAAGACAAGTCTGAAAACACCCATACTTTTGAAGTAGTGATGAGTGTATATTTCCAGGTATCTGGGACAACGGTCATGAATATGACAAGGTCACAGGCACTGGTGAGGAGGTGAACAAGGTCACATTCATAATTGAAGGCAGAACAAAATTCCCAGGAGAAGACAATGGAAAAAAGGAGGTAACGTTTTCCCTCACCCAAGTTCATGGGTTCCTTGAATTTTCCCCACAGGCTCTAAGTTAAGAATCCCTAAGTAGCTCTCAACCAGCATTTAAAATGAAAATTAAAGTAGAGAAAAGAAATGGGTCAGCCGTCTCTCTCACAGAAAGATGAGAACCAGTTGGGAAATCTTTGCCTTGGTCTGTGGGTCTGAGCCCAGACTTTGCAGCTGGACCTCTTCAAGTTGAACCTCTTTTTCTACCACATGCTGCTGTGTGACCTAGGCCAAGCCACTGTGCTTTCTGTGCCTCAGTTTTCTCCCTTTGCAAATGGCAACAATGGAAGTCCCGTCCTTAGAGGGCTGCTGTGAGCAGGGAGTTCAGGTGGGATGGGGATTTGGCACGATCACTGTTTGGCTGTTGTGCTTTGATAGGCCCGTGCGTGCTCTGTGTCACAACATAGAATATGTTTCTTCCTGCGGGTCATGGTCCAAAATGTTTGGAAGCCTCGTCCCGGGAGGATTTTGGGACTCAGACCTTGGCAAGAGCTCATGTGGGATTCCAGGCTTGGGAAAGGGCATGTGAAGAATGCCAAGTCTGGGCTCTGCATTAGTTTTCCGTTGCTCTATAATAATTTACCACACTTCAAGGAGCGCTGTCCTTGGCTCTCTCTGGCTCTCGCCTTTGCCCATGTTGATCCCTCTGTCTGGAAGGACCTCTTCCTCTTGCCTCCACGTGGCCAGTTCTCACTCGGCCTTTAGGACTTAGCTCAGACATTGCCTGCTCCAGGAAAGCTTCCCTGAATCCCAGCCCCACCGCCCCACCCCTGGGAAGGTGCCTGTGCACCATGTCCTTCCAATATCCCCATCAACGCAGATGCCACAACCAACTGCCACCATCTGCTTCTGCAGTCATCCCCCATGAGATGCCCTTCATGTCTCTTTTTCTTTACACCCCCAGTACCCAGGAGAGCCTGGCATGGGTGAGGTCTTGGCAAATGTGTGCTGAGTGAGTGAATGAGTGAATGAATGAGTGGCTTTCCTGAGGCCCCTTGCACACTCAGAGAAACCTAGAACTGAGCCTGGGCCAGCAGAGGCCAGCTGGCTGGGCTTGGGGTGGGGAGCGGAGGGGACATCTCCTTGAAGCCTGTAATCCTCAACCATTGTGGGATCAGCCCAGGGTTGGTCCTCGCATCCTTGACAGAATCTCGAGGGCCTGGGGTGTCAGACCCACCTCCTGTCTCATCCCACAGCTCCACTCACTGAGCTCAAACCCAGAGGCCAGATCCCCCAAGCTCAGAGGGCTTTGGCCATACCCCAGACCCAGGAACCACGCCTGCACGCACTGTTCCTGAAGAAGATTTATTTACGGGCTTCTGAGCCAGGGCTACCACCAGCCTCGGGGCCTCAGCAGGGTGATCCATGCCCCCTTTCTTGGGGACCTAAGAGCGCTCGTGTTTTGTAGTGTTATTTGGTTGTTCTTTCTCTTTTTAATTTGTATTTATTAATTTGAGGGAGGAGGAGAAAGAGAGAGATTTGTTTTTCCACTTATTATATACTCATTGGGTAATTTTTGCATGTGCCCTGGCCAGGGATCAAGCGGCAACCTTGGCTTATGTGGATGATGCTTGACTCATCTGGGTGGTCTGTGGTTGTTCAGTGACCGGATCTACCAGAGGATAATCCCAATGAAAACCGATGCCCGTGATGCCAAGGGGTCGATGCTGGCCGAAGAGTCCTGTGAGCACCTTGTCGGGCTGATCAGGGTAGGCGACAAAGCTGCGGCCTTCTTCCTTCCCAAATGCGGCCCAGCGCCCGAGGTTGGTATATATGACCATGTAGCGGAGGTAAATCCTGTGCGTGCCGTACACCCCTATGATGTATTCATCTGGCTGCAGGATGAATTCCTGGGCACGCCCACCTAAGACTCCAAGTCTTTCGCTCCAGGAGGATCCATATTTAAACTGGATACTGGGAGAAAGGGGGAACTTTGAACACTCTGGATCTAGGCTGACTCACCACTCCCGAGGTCCTCTCTCCCCCACACTACCCCTCCCCCCAGCCATCAGCAAGGAGAACATTTCTGTCACTGCAGGTAAGTCCCTGAGCACATGGTTTGGGGTTCCTGCGACAGACATGCTCGTCTCAAACCCTCTGCTCTGCTGCTTTGGGGCTCTGTGGTCCGGGGCTTGTTGCCCAGCCTCTCTGGGCCTCAGTTTCTTCATCTGAAAAGTGGGAGTGATTGCTGGGAGCAGGCACTGAGATCATCCATAAGGAGAGCTCTGCAAAAGGCCCGATCACCATGACCCTCAGGCTGTGCCAGCTGTCATCCTTGCTCTTGGCAGGGAGCTATTCCATGGCCAACCTTGGGTTTCCTGAGACCAAGTCACTCCAACTAGATCAGGTCACAGCCCTGGGAAGCAAGTGACTTCTCACACTCACCTGGGGGAATTCCACTAGCTTTGCTCATCTGAGCTTATCTGTGTCCTTTCTCCCACCTTGGTGCTTATCCCAGAGGCTCCTTCTCCATGGCTCCCTGTCCATACTCTGTCCCCTTTGGTACTGGCTGCTCTGCCCCATTCTCTCTCTCAGGTCCCCAGGACCCCTTAAGTGCAGAGCAAATATTTTCCCCAGGCTTTGAACAAGGATACCACCCTCACATTAGGGGAATGGCCCAAGGCTTTCGGCCTCTACACGCTTCTGGCGAACTGTATTCAGGCAGTGGTCCACTCTGACCCTCACTTCCTTTCATCTTTGACCCTAACCTTCCCCTGATTTTCCCATCAGGTATTCTCAGACCGAAGGGCTGGTTTTGGTTGAGATGAGTTTGTGTTGAATGGAGAAAGTAGGGAGAAGCATCATCTACCACTGTTTTAGATCAACCCAAGAAACAGTGTCTGGACCTGCAGTTGGAGGCAGAAAGAAGTGGGACTGGTATGCAGGAGAGGAGGTGACTGAGGAAAAGGGACAAACCGAAAGGTGATAGCTGGTGGCTCTGTGACTCCAAGGACAGAGCTGGCCTCAAAGAGTCAGCAAGAGCCTGGTGAGGATGCTGGAGAAGAGGCAGGTAAGCCCCCCTCCCCAAGTTCCCAAGACTGTGGCATGAGTTGGGACATGGCGATAGGGCTTTGTGCCCTGCTCTTACTCACCTCCTAAATATGCCTATAGGACTTATAAACACCCGAATCCCAGATATATCTTGTGTGTTTTCTGTAGAGCTACTGAAATACGAGCCTCCTCCATTCCCATACATCTCTAGAGGGATGAAAAAACCAGGTGGGGGAGAGAGAGAAAAATCACATGGTAATATATAGGTTATCTTTTTACAGAGCTGGACAAAGCCATCCAGGCAGATGGGATGGTCCTGAGACTAGAGTTAGTCCAGGGTTGGGCCTAAACCTCCTCAGGGTGTCCTCATTGGAGCAGGTGAGGGTGGCCACC